TTTTAAACAGTGGACATAATTACTCCTGCTAGAACTTAATACTAAGTCCTGTCAACACTGTATTTGAGTTGTTTGGTTCTTTTTTTTAGAACATTAATTATTTAATACAAACATTAATATTGTTCATTTCATATTTTTATTTTTGAAGTAAATATTAAGGGCCTTTTAAATAGCTGGGTTTCATGTGCAGAAAATATAAATGTGACATGTTTATTTGTTGCAGCAAAAGTATTGGGGAAATCTTTCTTGAGATGTGTGGTAAGTGGGATTGTAAAGCTTGCTGTAAGTAGGCTGACATGGACATCAGTTGTATTCATAGACATTAACTTGCCTGTATATTACTTTAAATATTTTAGTGGGAAATCTTTCACTTTAACCAGTTACTCTAGTAGAGATTATCTTGTGAATCGCAGCTCCAGAGGGATCAAAATTCACTCAGCTGCTTCAGAGTGACAGCTCTGGGGCACTTGCATCAGCGCATGCAGGCGCAGCTTTGAACTGGAGAAGCCAAACAGGATAAAGCACAGGCAGAGGTCTGTGGTTGGGCTCAGGAAACCATCCTGCGAGCCGTTCTGGGACTGCCAGATTCGGAGAGTCGTAACTTTCGGAATAATCTAATGCGTATCTTCTGTCAGAAAGCACTTCTTTGATTGTTGCTTATGGTTCGTGTTTTTTAAATGATGTAATATAATACTGGAGAAACTAAATTTTGGCTCCAGTCCTAAAAAAGTAAAAGTAAAGGCTACAGCTGTAGTTGGGGATTTCTTACAGATACAGTCCTGTTTTGTAAGGTTTTGCCTTCTGATGGTTTCTGTTTGTTGCTTTAATATCATGACAGAGCTGCTTATGGAGAAAGAACTATTTATGAGAATGCTTTTTTTTTTTCTGACAGCACAACAAAGAGCTGGGTGAACTGTGCATTTCACCATGACCTTTAACTGCTGATCTCCCACTGTTTAACAGCCAGATTTTATTCTTGTAGGAGCTTATATATTTTATTGGCTTTTTAATACAGGCTCAGCAGGTGCTGGAGAAGCAACTTTGCCCTTGTTTTGTTCTTTGGAAGTACTTCAGAAAGTTTTTTGCAGCATAGAGATCAACAGTTTTTTGTTTTTTAGGTTGTGTTGGTTTATTGAGATCTATTTAGCAATGCTGCTGTAATTTTTATAATATGACTTTTTCCTCGTGCTCATCTAATGTATACTGCAGTTAGTGGTGCATGTATTATAACTTACTTTTGAGTCATCGAGTACCTCTCCGATACAGAGGTCATAGCACACTTTTTCTTACAAAATATCTGTTGTATAGTTCTGTAGACTGTGAGAGTTAAAACTTTCTGAACTATGCAATAAAAGGAATATTCAGTAAGCACAGGCAACAAACTGATGTTTACTAATGGAGTTAACTGTTAAAGTTATTTTGTATCAACTCATGCCTGAGATCTGATAAATACATTTTTTCTTCATTTTTTTCCTCTTCTATAAATGTTAGATTTTTGCAGTTTGGTTTGTTGTTGTTTTCCTTTTTTAATTTAAGTGTGTGATTTTGTAGAATAACTATTAATGGAAAAAATTGGGAAACTATTTAGAATAAAATATGTAAAGACTTATCCTTTCAGATTGACTGACAATAGCGTAATGAAATCTCTTAGAAACCATAGTGTCTTGTTTATTTTGTGAAAAAAAGGTGCTTTCGGATTTGAGAGTAGTCCTCCTTTCCAAAAGCAGAAACGTCCTTTAGGAGGTAGGGGAAAATCTCAAAATACCAGCAGCTTTTTGTTTTCTGTCTGTCTACGCTACGGCTTTTTGAAGTGATCTTATGCTAAACTCAGAGTAATGTAAATATTTTATTATTATATTTCCTTCATGAGATGCTCTGAAATTCTGACTAAATTGGTGTACAGTGGCATCTAAATTTCAGCTCATAAAAATCTGTACATTTATTTGAAAGTATGTCTATCTGAAGTCTGGTTTTGTTTCCATGTTGTTGGGCATAATTAATGACTGGTGATTTGAATCGTGTTTCTTGTAAAGCTGAAACAACTGCAGTTTTGTGTGGTCATGGCAGTGTAATACAGTGTGTAAATATTATTAATGCTTTATGTTAATAGAGAAAATGAAAGATAAAAATAAAGTATATACATTGTGAATGTTGTGGTGATTTTCTCTTCTTGACAGGCTGTTGAGCTTCCAGTCGAGAAGCATGTTTCATGATAATTTTATTTATTTTTAATAATTGAAGCAAAAAGTTTTAAAATCGCAGAATTCCTTCTGAATATCCCACTTACTTCATTTAAGCCTGTGTAAGGTGTGTTCCCTCTTTCCCTTCCAAAGCTCTTTAAAGAGATGAGCCGAGAAGGTGGCTTATTTGAACACCTGTCTCTTAGAAGTAGACTTTTGTAGGCAGTTTGTTGTCATTTAGTTGCAGTAAGACTAGTCAAAAATGAATCTTTCTTAAACCGTTATCTTGTGTGTATAAATTTAGAAAAATGTATATGACAAGCCCCTTTGAATTATGTGGAATTATATAGTTGTCTTGTAAATGGCATCCAGCGCTGGCTTAGAGAGCAGCATGAGAAAACCAGAGTTGAATAATCCTGTAAATTAAATGAGATCTTTAAATTAAAAAAATGTTAGTGTAACTAGTCCTCTTAGTAGGTGCAGGTTAAGTATGTACCTGAATTTAAAAAGTAGTATTTGTGTATGCTGAGTCTTACTTGGAAGGTCTTGCTCTTTCAGAAGGTCATACAGGCAGTAAGTTTTAGTTAGCAAAATACAGAATAGATACAGTCTTGTCTTTTGATGTTGTCTCCTCTTTTCCCTTATTGCCATCTCTGGGTGGAACTGATGTGTGCAAGAAATAGGGAATGCAAGATGCTTAAGTTTAGGAGCTATAAGAAACGGTGGGGATAAAGATGTATTTTATGTACAAGGTCACACAACCTACTGCTTTCTTCAAGAGGTGATGATAAGCTGTGACACTTCTTTAATGACATTTGAGTCTAGTATTCAGAGAAAAGGAGATGTGTTGCCTTGAGAAGGCAAGCTCTTGGAATTTGCTGAGATGGGTGAGAAGGCTTGCAGGGCCCTTGTAAAAGGGGGGACGAAAAGCTAGTATGTTACGCTCATCTTAGGCTTATAGGCAAAATGAGCAATTCCTTCAGTCAGTTCATGCAGTTTGAATGATGCAGTGCTTTTGGTCAAGGTCACCTTGAGCACAGAGTGATATTATGCTTGCAATGAAAAGGAAGCAAACCTTTCTACTTAAGTATGAGGCAGAGCAACAGGCAAGGGACGCTTAGGCGACCTGTTTTGTTAGCATACATCAAATAGTATACTAAGGCATCTGTTTGCCTCCTGAAGATGACCATTGAAAGACTTGAGTTTTGGTTTGTAGTTTTCTTGTCTTTTTTTTACTGTTGCAACTCCATTGCTGTCTGTTTAGTATAAATGAGCTGTCACAGTTTTTTATCGTGTTGTCTAACTGGCTTGGAGCAAATTGAGACAAATGTGATAACAGCACCATTGTTCAGCTGTAGCTGTGCTACAGCTCTTCATAATGCTGCAGTCCATGTAGCTTTTCCATTGCTACCACAGTGAGAGAAATCTGACCACGCAGGTAAGCTCCAGGGCTGTTGATCCCTGTTACCTCTTAGTGTCGCTAAACAAATGGAAGTCTAGATTGAATTTAAATAGCAAATACACAGTAGAGGCAGCGATTGTGGCTGTGGATTTTTCCCCTACTTTTCCCCTGCCTTTCCTGCAAAGTTGTTTTGATCAGGTCAGTTTTCTGTTGAAATAACTCTTTCCTACAATACCAACTGTCTTCATTATGCTAATCTCTTTCATTCCAGCATTTCTATTGGTTCATTAACTAATCATCATGAACCTAAGGATTTGTTCAAGGGAGGGAAAATCTGCTTTTGATAGAAGTAGCATCAATAGTTTATTTGAGGAGAGGGAGAAATGTTCTGAAGTACCATATAGCATTTGTTAGTATTGCATGTAAGTGCAGGGAATCTTGATCTTCATAACTAAATAAGAATAAACTGTCTTTGGTTGGTTGGTTTCACTTTTGTTTTTTTTTGCAGGTTGGTTGGTTTGTTTTTAAATCAAATCCCTGAACTTGTTCCTGATAACTAGTAACGTTAAGGAAAATGCTGTTGGGGACCTGGAGTTCAAGAAAGTATATGGAGTTTTTTTAAGGTGTTATGTTCTTATTGGATATTTTGCTGTGCCTAAGTGATGTGTGTTGTAACAAAAACTCAGTTACTTTGCATTTGTCATTCAGGTGGATTTTCCTAGTGTTTTAGGGTCATACTTTGCTTACGGCCAGATTATTGTCAGTTTTCTCTGTGCATGATGAGACAGATCGTGTTGTTATGTTTTCATTCTCACCATGTTTGCAGTCAAGAACTACTGTAATTGTTGTACAGCAGGATATTTTCTACTGTGCCCAAGTGAAGAATAGCTACTCATGCAACCTCTTTAAGGACTAATGCAAGTGTACCTTAAGATGTCATTTTAAAGTTTGGGAAAAGTATAAATATTTGCATTCAAGAATGAAGGAAATGTGACATTTGTGCTCATGAACCACAGTAGTCAGTTGATTTCTTGCAACATTTACTCCTCAGTGCTGGCTTGCAAACTCTCTAATACGATATTCCTGTGGAGTTCATATATTTAGTACCAGCCAAATTCTAGGATGGTATTATGCATTAACAAAAATGAATTTGGGGGTTTGTAAATCTCATGCATACTCCAAATATTTTTATCAAGTAACATTGAAAGATGCTGCTTTTCTAACCAATCTATTTTAAATGTGTAATGGATTTCGAGATTTTTCAGCAAGATTAAGATATTTTCTGATTATTCAGTCTTGTCATACTGAGACAGAAACACCCTGCAGTATTATTTTTGGAAGGTTTTCAGACTTGAGAGTCTTGATGAATTTGTCTCTGTGAAAATTTTGCACTCTTATCTGTCTTTTTAACAGCTGTCATGGAGGAGTTGGTAGAGGATGACATCTGTATTTTGAACCATGAAAAAGCAGACAACGTTCATAAAAGAGACGGGGAGATTCCTGTTTCATCTTACAGTGGAGATGAGTCTGTTGCCTCACACTTCGCACTTGTCACTGCATATGAAGATATCAAGAAACGACTAAAGGAGACGGAGAAGGAGAACTCCTTCTTAAAAAAAAGAGTGAGAATTCTAGAAGAGAAGGTAAGAAAAAAGTTGATTTACCAGCTTCTGGTAGCAGCTACTGTTTTTCTCCTGGCTGGATGGCGGAGCAGATGGTTAAGTATTTAAAATATGTACTTAAAATAATTTCCAAGTTAAAAAGTTTTAGTAAACTGTTGTATTTGTTTTAAGTGAGATACAGTTTGTTCCTCTGGTAATCGAGTTACATCATACTGGGATTTTTGGTGCTTACTAGGCATGTATGTGGTGCAATGCAGTAGTGCCCTGCAAAGACACTAGCTTTGATTCAGAAAGATGTGTAGTTGGATTGGATCGTTACTGTATTTCATCTACCTCTTTATGATATTAACTTGGGCACGTGTGACTTAGTATTGTTGAATAGTGAGGGGCCAAGTCTATAAATTGTCAGAATCCAGGAACCGTCCATCAGAAGAATCTCTTGGGCTCAGCGTACTGAAATGATAAGGAAAAATGGGTTGTTAAGAATATCTAGCTAGGTGTAGCTAATAGCAGTCTCAGACGTGAAATACAAAGCTGCAATGCTTAACATAGAGGTGACGGCTTGCTGTTTTTTGATGCAGTAATTCTGAAATGTAAAGGAATCTAGGAATTTGTTTTGTATGCAGTTTCTCCTGGCCTTAGTCTAGTGAAGTTCATTAAAGCTAAAAATTGGCCATGACATAGGCTTTTCTTCCTGAGTAAAGAATGCTATTGCTAAAACGTGTATCCATTGTTCAGTACTGAGTGTCTTTGTACCGCAAAAGGTCTCTGCAAAAGGACTTTGATAGATTGCCTTCTTATTAAGGCAAGATAGATCCTAGAGTTAGAGCTGAGACATTTAATAGGACTAAGTATGTGCTACTGGCTCTTAAAAGCCTACAAAGTATGTGCTATCTTGTGGCATCGGAATGAAGAGCTTGAGTCACACTCCTTACAATTTTGAAACGCTTATTCAGGAATTACTGGTGACTAGTTTGACAGAATTAACTTTCTGTCAAAAGGCAAAACTTTCTCAGTATGTTCTTTATATAAGGCCCTCTAGGGGTGATGAGGATAGGAATGGAGCTTTACACTGAATATGCCAAGGTGCATAATGATAGGACAAGGGGCAATGGCTTTAAACTGAAAGAGGGTAGGTTTAGATTGGAGATAAGGAAGAAATTCTTCACCCTGAGGGTGGTGAAGCACTGGACCAGGTTGCCCAGGGAAGTTGGAAGCACTTCCAGGTTGCCCCATCCCTGGAAGTGTTCAAGGCCAGGTTGGATGAGGCTTTGAGCAACCTGATCTAGTGGAAGGTGTCCCTGCCCATGCCAGGGGGGTTGGAACAAGGTGGTCTTTAAGGTCCCTTCCAGCCCAAAACCATTCTATGAACCATGCTGAACCATCTTTTATGTTGCTCAAAATCACAATAAACAGGACTTGATCTTGTGTCTTTTGGTTTGGCCTGGTTCAACTTAATCGTCTTGAAGATGATGCTTTGTTTTCCATAGAGGAAACTTTTGGTTTAGTATGTGAATACCATAAAAATGTTTCTATGAGAGAGGGACATTGAGAAGGCCTACACTGTTAAGTAGCAGAACTGACTTTTAGTCTTTGTTAATGGCTAGTATACCTGTACGGTAGAAAATACACAAGGGATTACCCTTCTTGAATTTTAAATTTCAAAGTGTATGGAAACTTCTGGAAAGTTTGGTAAGGCTTATGTTCTATCTGAATGGCTTTATTTTGAGGAGGAAAATGTAAAGGACAAAACTTAAAATGAATAGTATGCATACTTTGAAGGTCAATACAAAAAGCAAAGCACAGAAGCTTCCTATATTTATGGCTGCTTTCCCATACTTTCTTTTGAGTGAACACCTAAAAGAGGATGTATTTAAGGTAGATAGATAACTGTCACCTCTTTGATTTTTGTAATTTTTTTGTCTGACTCATTTTTTGAGAAAACATTTATATATCTGTTGCAAATATCTATATTAGGTACACTGAACGTGTTTAAATGCCTCAAAAATTTAAAGCAAGTGTGCAGGATAAACAGAGTGAAAAGGATAATGCAATACTTAGTCAAAACAAGAACTTTCTATGTGGAGAGATGTAATTTGATGTAAGACTTACATTCTTGCTGTCTTATTGAAAATACTGAATACATTTTATTTCTGCTCCCCTCTTTCTGACAATCTAGTTGGTAGTGCTTATTCTCCCTTGCTTGTCTTGTGCCTTAGCAAGCAATGAGATAGCAGTGACCTGGAAGTTAATAGTTATTTGTAAAATAATTCTGCTTTGGCTTTCCTCACATAAATACACTGGGAAAAAAAAAAATCTTTGTTTAAATTCTGAGTCATTAAAATCTTATGTTTGACTTCCTCTGAATTTTCTATATGTTGTGGTTTTATATACTTAAAACTCTTTTTCCAAAAAGCAATTTGTACATCTTCAGAGCCTGGAAAATTATTATTAAGGGATTATCAGTGTGAGTAATCATGACTCGTGGATGGTTTTTAAATACTTCTAGCAGTAAGCTAGCGAGCATTAAGTATGATTTGAGATTGCAGACTTCGTAGCCAGCCTTTGTTTCACTGTTGTAAAAAATTTTGGTCCATATCAATATATTTGATTAATTTATTTTCTAAACTAAACTAAAACAAATGCTGTTAGTTTAATGTTGCAGGCTGTACTACTGCACTTTTTTAATTTTGCAGTTCTCAATATAACATATGAAAGTTCTTATTTCTCGTATCTCTTAAACTTTTAGCTGCTTGGCTCCCGATTGGAAGAGGAATGCAGTTCAGTTGGACGTGAACAAGTGAATAAGGCATATCAAGCCTATCGAGAGGCCTGCATTGACCGAGATAATCTAAAAAACAAACTGGATAAAATGGTATGCCTTTTTAAGTAATGACTGTTAAATGCATGTTATATAAGTCCTGCATAGTTAGTAAATGTTTACTGTAGAATGAATTTTATTTGCTGCAGATCTGTGGTGTTTGCTTTAGGTGTGGTGTGGTGCACTTTAGGTTTCTAAAGTGCATGATGATACTTTATGTAGGAATAATGATTTTAAATATCTCAATTTTATTACTGGGCTAGGCTAATGCTAAAAAAAAAATCGAAGCAATATTTTTCTTGGTGTTGTGGGGTGGTTTTTTTGTGTGTTTGTTTTTTTGTTGTTAAAGTTGATTTGTCAGACATGATAGAAAAAAGCTTCAGAAATGGTTTTGGGTTTGTTTCCCCACCCCTCAACACCCTCCCACCCCCCAAAAAAAATAACACAGAAGAAAGAAAGTATGGAATCCCTGAAAACCTTGAATGAACAGCTGCAGTCGAAAGAAGTAGAGCTGTTACAACTAAGAACTGAAGTGGAAACTCAACAAGGTATGCATTTGGTTACTTCATCTTAACGTATGTTGACTAGTCTTAGTTGTTATATTATGATCTCAGGGTGTGAAGAGGTTTAACCCTATATAGTGGCTAGGTAAGAGAGGCATATGCTGCAGTGAGGTGCTTTGAGCTTGTGTGTGTGTTCTTGTAAATGATAACATGCATGCTAGATTATCATAGGCAAGGATCTCCATGGTAAAGATCTGAGGCTGTTGTGCTCTTCCACTGTAGATTATTTAATTATTTGAAAAATGTGCACAACCTGACAGTTTAATAGGCTAGTCGTGTACATCTCTGGACCCCACCCTCTTTTCCTGAGAGTGGAGCAAAGGTGTACTGGTTCAAGCATATTATCAACTATCCAGTCGATAACACTTCCTCTGGTACCTGCAAATGATTCAGTGTATTGCTTTGTCTTGCTCTTGAGATATGACAGGTACAAGAGGATGTTGTATAGCAATAGCTGCAGTCGATAACAGTTACTTAAATGGCTGGGGAGATGAGGAAAGGTAGAAAGATGCTGGTTGTAGACAGCCTGGTAGAAAGAGGAGGGAGAAACAGTGTACCCTGGCAATTCCAAAAGCCCAAATCCAGCTTCCATTACTGCTGTTGTACAGAGTGCTTTGGAGATGATAGGTACATAAAATAAAACGCTATAGAAGAAAAAAAAATCTTTATTAATATAGTTACAAGAAAAGAGAACAAGAAAATGCCATCTGTGTAAAGTTAGAGATATGGACTGGACTTAAGATTCTGTACAAATGCAGTCATTTGAAGGGTGCTTGTAAGTATTGCTATGCTTGAATTGGATCACTTTTGAAGACGATCTCAAGCATGTAATGCACGACTTCATTTGTGCAAGCTTTTAAACCTAGAAGAGCAAACTACATGTAGTAGTAGTATCATTGTTGAGGACCTCATGGTTTCAAGCCTTATTTAGTAATCAATTTTACTCATAAGTGGGCTCTGAATACTGTGTTTAAGAAAAATCAGTGTAGCTTAAGCTTGTTTAAACTGTTAAATCTGGAAATGAGTGAACCATGCAGTTGGAAGACTTGGGGGTTGTATTCCTGTCATGTCCATTCTTTTCTTGCTGTCTAACTAGCCCTACTACTGATTTGATGCTAGGATTGTTCTTACTAGCAACCTTGTGAATTTATTCTTTCTAATAAGAAGACTTATGTAACTTCTAGGTTTTATGCTTTTGTTTTGATTGTATCTTTTGTTGTTCTTTTTGGAATTTCTTGATATTAAACTTGGGGAAAACTTGTAGTAAATTATGTCATAATATAAACCTGAGGGGGAAAAAGACTCGTGTTTTCAAAGCATGTAAGTAGTATGCAAGTTAGTATATGTTTGCTATTAACTGGTTTTTGTATTTCCAGTGCCTTTTTATGCTGTATTTTCTTTTTCTTTACATAAAATTTCCAGTGCATTCCTGGAAAGTAGGGCTCCGTACTTTAAACTCAGAAAATAGACGACTGCTCTGCCAACAGCTTTACCAGTGTTACTATTTCTCTGTTGTCATAGACTGCAGTTTCTTTAGAATGTACAGGATAACGTTTTTGTAGGGCATGGGCTGGTTGAAGTGAAACCTTACATCCCGAGTGATGTTCCTGAACTGAGACTTAAATCTGATTGTCTTTCTTGTTGTCCTTACAGTGATGAAAAATCTGCATTGTACTCAGTCCAGCTGGGAAATAGAGAAGCTGAACAGTGACCTGAAAGTGCACAGTCTGGAACAGAATCTAGAAAAGCTCAAGCAAGAGTGCAATAGTCTCAGAAAGGAGTTGCAAAAATCCAAGGAGAAGGTACCTTTATTTTTAGGAAGTTTTTTGTATTAATAGGTTATTTAAAATTCCACGTTCAAGCAAAATAAAGAGTAAACAATGAAATATAAAGTATACAATTGAGTGAAAGATGAACATCTTAGTAAAATAAACCTTAAATATTCTCATATGCTTTCTTGGAAATAGTAACAAGCTCCCCAAGAAAAGTGGTCACAGCACTAAGCTTGTCAGAATTCAAGGAGTGTCTGGACGAGACTCTTAGTCGTAAGCTTTAGTTCTAGGTAGTCCTACAAGGACTGTTCATGTGTTGAACTTGGTGATCCTTACGGGTCCCTTCCAAATCAGGTTATTCTATGATTCTACACAGGTGAGATTTCCCAGCCATTGCCCATATAACAACAGAAAATAAAGCTTTATTTATGCTTTCTTATTAAGTAGCCCACCTCTCTTGCCCCCTCCTCTTTTTGAAAACTTGCTGGAATCTCAAAAAGAAAATTAAAATAGCTTAACAGTATTAAAATGCATTAAGTTTAAAGAAAAATGTCTAGTGCATGTTTACTGCTTTTAAAAGATTTAAACGTGATTGTTTGAAGAGGCAGGCTGTTTTAGGCTCCTTATGGTCATGAATAATTGTGATTATGTAATCTTGATTCACATAGTATTTGAGTGAGTCATTATTCAGAGTATGTAAGACTCGCAGATAGAAACCATCATCTGTGGCCATCTCCTGCCTGCAAACGCGATTTGGTCATTAATTTTGGGAATGTTTCTTTGGCACACTGTCTTTTGGGCACATTTATGTTAGTACAGAACTGTACTTCTGAAGCAAATCTCCTAATCACCGCTGCTTACCGTGCCTTGCGCTATGAAGCAGTCGTGAGTATGGCAACTGGATTCCTTTTGGATGAAGCTAATTAAGACGCACCCCAACCTCTCCTGGGCATTCAGGAGCCAGACTAGAGCTAGCGTGAAGAAATGTCCTCTCCTGCTGCCCCCCCAGCGTATATAGTCGGGGTGTGTCTCTATAGATCTGCTGCTGTCATGCCACACTCCTGTCTTACAGGGACGGGCCTACATGCATCGACTGTCTTGTCCCAGGTTGAGTCTGTGTTTTTTCTACTAGGTAGGGATTAAAACACATTACCTGGAAGGCACGTGAGGTGTTTTGTTCACAAAAACGTTGGTGGTTGTTTTCACTTGTATTTGGAATTCTTTTAGGTGTTTTCAATAACTTGTATGTCTTCAAAATTTCCTTGTATGCAGTTTTAGTGTCTTCAGGTAACTCTATGGAATAGAGTAACAGCTATATAAATAATTGAAGATTGCACATTTTATTGTGAGCATGAATGTTGCTAGAAACAACAGACTGAAACAGCAGTTGTAAGGACTAGACGTGACACTGTTTAAAAAATGCTTATGCCAGCAGCTCTTGTTGCAAAGAACAAATACAAGGAACAGCTTTTTTCTTTTTTTTTTTTTTTTAAAGCATCATTTCTTCTTGCTCCTGATAACCGCTTAATATAGGAAATAAAAAGGTACAAGTTTTCAAATGTGGAGTAATATGATGCAACTGTTTGTTTTTTGAACTATGAAGTTGAATCTCTGATGGCTGGGGTGAGAAAGTTCGGAAAAAGGAAAAATTGTCAGGTGAAATACACGGATGTGCAATCAGTGGGCAATGACAAGTCAGCATTGTTTCAAACCCAGCTGCTATTTTCATTATTACTGTTTTTAATTACATTAGTTAGCGTTTTAGATGTTTTCTCCCTTAGGCAAGTATACTTCCTAGGTTTTTTTTCTATTTTTAGATATTCTTATTTGGGTTTTGCATTGTGCGTTATATTGACAAGTTGCTTGAAACTTAAATAGGCCGTCGTGAAGCCACAGTAACAGGTATCGAATTCGTAACAGTTTTTGCTAGAGGGCATGGCAGTAGGAAGGGAACATGGAAGAGAAGGGATATGAATGGGAACTGATCACAGGTGAGGGTCTAATAGAAACACGACTAACGAAGTGAGCCCAATGTTTGATTTGTTAAACAGTCCTGTTAACTGCAGTGAGGCTGCTTGTATGCACAATTTAAAGCAGTCTTTCAGACTCAAGGGATAAATTATGTTCTATCATAAAAGTCACTTGTGGAAGTAAATCTATATTGATACAGTTGTCTTTAATTTAGAGGTCTTTATGTACTGGGGCAGGGGAAGAAGAACAAGACAAGGCTGGTTACTTTTTTTTAATGGAAAAAAAGCTTTTTCTCAAGTTTTGCTTTTCAAAGAATCAAAAACTACAAGAGCTCAGCTGTTTAAAAAAAAAAAAAGAGGGGGAGAGGGGAGAGTATGGTTGGTGGCTGAGCAATGCTTTCATGTAAGTAGGTAGTTTAAGCATTTTTAAGTGGAAATTCTTAGTAGAAATCTTTATATCCATTTTGAAAACCACTGCGGCCAACACAAATGAAGACTACTTTAATTCTGAATTTTAATATTAGCAAACTTGTAGTTTCACTGCAGTATTTGCAGATAGAAGATCTGAAATCGTATGTTCATTCTGTGCCTATCTTCCCCTCACTCTGTTACGCAGGACCAAGCTCAAGACAAAAATCCATTAAATGGAGACCTCCTTCAAAGGCAAGACATCCAGAGGTATGAAAATCAAGTGGCTTTCATGTTTTATGTTTAGTTTACTGAGGGACAGTTATTTGAATAAGTAAATATTCTTGCAGCCTGTTCAAATTTCAAATTACATAATATAATTTCAAGTCTAGGTATACTGATTTAGTAAGATCATGACAACTTTTTAAAATTTGTTATGTTGCTAGTCCAGGATGATGATGATAAGAAAACATTTACATCTTCAGATTGTTGCACAGAAAATGAAAGTTACATTATCTTGGATTTAAAAATCAGCTTTTTAATAATTAGCTGACTTGAGGAGGTGGGGGTTTTTTTGAGGGGCCATTGTGTGACCTATTCAAAAAGAAATTGCAGTTTTCCAGAAAAATGCCAACATATCAGAAATTTTTTGTTCTCATTTTGTATCAAATAAAAATTGTGCTTATGATATGCAAACTCTTATATTATCCTGTCTTGAGTATGTATATATATCCTTTAAGTCTTTATGCAAAAGAACAATTCATGAATGCATAAAAGTTTGCAAATGTTCTGTCTTGCAGAAATTAAATACTAACTGCATCTTTTACACCGTTATGCCTATTTGTGTACTTACACGATTTTCCACAAGAGGGAAGAGTGGTCCTTTGTAATGGCAGATTGTTTAACGTAATATCTTGTTGCTTACTTGGCTACTGAAGAGATGGGAAAGGAAATCGGTCACTGAAAGAAAACAGCCCAGATATTTCTTTTCATATGTTCTCTGGTGTAATGATGATAATATTATACACGCTATACACAATTACACTTTCACCTTTCACCTTGGCTGGACAGCTAGCTAGCTAACGCTTGTGGATTCTGGAGCTTCATAGCCAGTCTTACACGTCTGAAAAAAAAGGTGTTATCTCAAGGCAAAGCAGTTACCTCTTTGATCTTCCAGAGCAGATTTATTCCATGAAGTGACATTCAGGTGGCAACCATCTGAATTATCATATGTACAGTATAGCGTTTATTGTAGTATGACATAAATAATGAATGTGTGATGTCTACCAAAAATCTGTGGAAAAACACTTGAAAAGCCTCCTATGCGAAACGTTTGTTGTGGCAAGCAATCCTGCTGTTTACGGGAGATGGAGGCATTTGCAGTTAGTTAACTTTCTGGAAAGTTTTTTTTTTTTTCACTTTTGCCAGCAGCCTGCAAATCTGACTTGAAATTCTTAGTTTGCAGATCTACTTTGCTCTCAATTTAGATAGGCTATCATATTCAAGGTTTATATTACATAGAAGGCAGTATAGGATAAACTTCCAAGCGTGTGGAATCCTCAGTTTTCAATTGCAAATTCCTTGAAAATTAGGCTTTGCAATGGGATTCTAGATCAGTATCTATAAAAACAGTTAAAATATGGTTACGTGTGATTTAAGTGAAATTCTGTTACCTGCATCCCTTTGCAAGATGCTTTTAAAGCGCTAAATGCATGTTAGAAAATTTATCCGAGCACTTTCCTTCTGGTTGGTGGCACACACTGAGCTGTTCTTATGTTTACCACTTCTGTATATAAATATATTTAAATATTGGAAAGTTCTGTTTTGATGTAACTAAAGGTTGTTTGATGTTATTTTTGAGACCAAAACATGTGAATAAATGAAGTGTCGTTACCATACCTACTGAAAAGTCACCTCTGAAAAGTTCAGAGAGCCAAATGGATTCTGCAGTAAAAAGGCAACAGGTTTAGCTGAACAACTTGAAATACCAGTTCTGAAAATTTTAATTTTCTATCAGAACTGCTGATAGCTAACACGTTACCTATTAAACTGTCAGTTTCCTTGGTTCTTTAACAGGTTTTGAATCTGAATTTTTGTATTCTGGAGAAATGTTTTTGTGCATAGAAGGAACTTAAATTTCTTGGTTTTACAAGAACTCTTTTAGTGTTAACTTCCAGAACAGAATAGTAGCTGTTTCTAAGAGTGCTTTTGAACATTCATGTCTGATAAATTTCATGCAGAAATGATCCTAAATTGCTATTTTAGAGGGACAGGTATCTGTATATATGCAAGTTTGAAAATACAGTTGTTATATAGCTCAATAGTTCTTGGTCATCTCAACAGCAGTTCGAGTTACTGAAGTGTTTTCAGATAAACATCTTTTAGGTTAATATAGTGAGGAAGAAAGAAATATTCTGAAAACTCATCCATGATACTTGTCCTCAATAAATGTGTTTTGGTAGAATGTTAAGCATTAAAAAAACATTAAATCATTGATTTCATGTTTAAGTTTAAGTAACTGCCTCCTTATGTCTTTGAACACTAAGTTAATTATTAATCAACATAAATTTGGTGTTCAGTGAGGCTTTGCTTGAAATTTTACCAAGAGATATATGGTGATGCTGACTTTTCCAATTTTTTTGTTGTTGTTGTTCTTGATTTTCTTACTAGCTAATAACCTGAAACTTCGATGTTGGAACAGTGCTGCTGTTGCTAATTATGTTTCTCATATTATGCTGTCTTACCAGAAAATGAATTAGGTCTCTATTTTTGACACTCTGATAAGGCAGTGTAGTAACATAAATCAGAGGACTTGAATATGAAACAGTATGTTTTGTAGTTCAATTTCATCTCTGTGTGGGTGCTCAGTTTGGATCTCGGGTATCTAGTCCAAATTCACTGTAGCAAAAAGAATGGTGTAAAGACCCAAATACTGATTTTTGACTGAATATTTAAAACTGTGATCAGTTAACATTACTAGGATCATAACATACGATGGTGTGTGTGGTCATTTATCAGAAGCCATTCAAAGTTAATACTCTACCTCGTTTGCAGCCTAGTGTCCGTTTAATGCATTTTTTAAGAAGTATTCCTTGGAGATTACTAATGTTATGGTAAGATGGTTAGTTTCAAATAATGAAATTGCAGCATATGCTTCATATTTGTTTCCATTTGTGGAACTTGACATTATTAATATTGTCTAGTATGTTAATACCTAATACATTATTTATTGTAATACGCAAGAGTCAAAATATACAAAGGTCCATCAGTTTAAGATAATTATCAGTACTGTGCAATTAATTTTGAATTAGAATACTCTAGTAAAGTTGGCAGTGTATGTCAGGCAAAAATGATTTATTAACAGTTAATGCTTGAGAAGCATGTTAATTGGCATAAAGGTACTTTAGAGGTGGCAATTATTTTAACTTTTTTAAAATTTTTGTTTTGAAAGTGTCCAACAAACATATTGGGATCTGAAGAGAGAAATGTCCAATTTGCGTCTAGTGACTGACGTGCAAGCTGAGGTTCTACGAAAACTGAAAACAAACCCAACAGTGACCAAGAAAGGCAAGTCAGGGTTTGCAGTAACAGACCGTGCAAACACAAAACGTTGATTCAAGCTGTACCATTTTGAAAAGAAGCTAGCTATCATATCTTATCAGAATCTCATCAATTGAAGCTGATAAGCTAGACTATATTATGGTTCCAGCCTACCCATTTTCTGCTTTTGCTTCTGTCTCATACTGGTCAACTTCACACATAAAGGTGTTGCTGATGTGTTTTTTCTTCAGTACTGTATTCTGTTCCCCTTGTGGCTTTTTTCTCAGTCAAGTGTTGCTTATGTGCACAAGGCTGAGGTGTTAAGTTTACTCGTATTTGACCTTTTACCACAACTACTTCATATTGAGGGGGAAATCTTTTTGCAAACGCAGTCTTATTTTCCTAATATAGAATATATAAAATATTAACTTGGCAACATTTTAAAATCAGACTTTAATAGACTGAAATTCCTTCATGGTAGCATATTTCTTTATGTTGGCATTCAAAAGAGTTGTCTTTTCTAGCAAAATGCTATGCAAGATGACATTTTCTGAATGTCAGATACTGAAGCTGCAAAACTGCCTTATTTCTGCTGCTACATTGCAAATAATTAAGTATATTCCACATAAAGTATGTGTAATTTCTGTGAGCAGTTCAGCAGATGGTTCTTCTGTTTAATACATGTGTTTCTCTCAAGCCAAACACTTCACGAGAGAGCGTTCTTACTCCGGTGGGGCCAGACTGTCCGTCTGACCGTTCATCGCAGTGTTACCTTATTTGTTTTCTGCTTGCCTCGGTTGTGGCATTTATTGTGTTGGGAATACAGAAGATGCTGGTGAGAGGCAGCTAACTTAGTTACAATATATTAGTGACAGTCTCTGATGTCCCTATCCAGGACAAGATCAAGACGTTTTGTTTCTAAACAGCTTTGATTAGCTCAGTGAGCTAATGATGGGCTTCACCTCCAGGTCAGTCACTGCCTTTGTCTGTGGCCAGCAGTGATTAATGGTCACTCTCGGGTACTTGGCTGATAAACTATCACCACGTTTTGTAGACTTGGTCATGTTGTTACCAACTGAGTCTGTCTTCCTGCGATTCTAAGACACATTTGTCAAATAACTTCAGCAGAGAAACTAGGAAGTGAATGAGTATCGTGGTTTTTGGACTGAGGGAGCACCCACCAACCATGGTCC